TTCCTGCCCACTAGACTCAATGAGCCGGACGGTCTTTTTTGACCGCCGATAACGGACATTGTACAGTCTTTCCCGGCACTCCCTACGCTACCGACCATCACGTGTCGAGAACGCCGAGCCGTCGCCGCCGTCGTCCGATCAGTTGTTCATCGCCGCCCGTCAGAGAAGGTCAACCGACTCCTGTGCCGCCTTCCGACCACTGTGCTGTACCCGTAACTCGTCGCCACCGTCTATTTGAGAACGCCGAGCCGAAGCTGCCGCCGTCCAAACCACGTGTCTGCCGACCTGTACGAAGTTGTGAACGTCGAGCCGTAGCTGCCGCCGTCCAACCATCTACTCACCGTCTGTCGAGAACGTCGAGCCATAGCCGCCGCTGTCCGGTCATTGACCTACCTCTTGCCGGTAGAGTTGAATTTGTCCTACACACCACCAGTCGAAAAAACCAACATACCGCCACGCAGAGCTGAGTCACTGTTGTTTACCGAGAGTCGAGCCGTTCACGCCGGTAATAATCAATTATTACCGTGCCGCCGTGATCGCGCCACTGTACGTGGATGCTCATTGCCACCATCGTCCCGCCACATACCATTCTACAAACCGTGAGTTAAATGTTCATGCTGTTCCCCCCCAATATTTTATGTAAATCCCGTAATTAAAATATTTTTTATGTACACTCGCAAGAGTATAATATATAATAATTCAAAAGAAATACTGTATTACACATCACCAAATTGTATCTGTATAACGAATTATTACGTATGTGAAATAAACGTGAAATAGTAAATTGAATAAATACCAACACGTTATTTTCCTTACAATATATTATATCTCCTGCTCGATGACGAGTTACTCTCGAATATTACCTCTTCGGTATACCGGTTTCCGATTGATTTCTCTCGTTTTTTTTTTTGTGTAATACAAAATACGTTTTAAAGATAGTTGTCTCGCTTTTCTTTTAAATTATCGGTTTAAACGATGAATGTATGATATACAGTCCAAAATACTATATTACTAGATAGCTACATCGATCATTGCTTACACAATCCCAAAAACTGTTCACGCAGCTAGTTAAAGATATGGAAGACACTTGTTGTAGAGATAAGAAAATAAATGGCAGCAGTGTTGTCCCTACAATTTATTGTAATCTATATATTGTGTGTGCATGAGGATATACACAGCGTTAGAGGTCAGGTGATTCGATCTGTTAAATGGTCGATAAAACGATATACGTCCTAGATAATAATCTGTATATAAATGATACCTATATGTATATAAGTGCCTAAAATAACGTTGGAAGAAATACTTATAAGATAATCTGAAGAGTTATATAATAGTACATAGCCAACGAAAGTCGAACGAGATATTCCGTTGCAGAATAGGATAGGCGCACATTTTGTCGCGAGATATTCTGCACACGTAGAAACATAAAAATATAATAATTACACGCACAAAATTTCGGGTCACCGTTAACCAAATAATAACACTATTTTACGTCTATTCTATCGCGATGAATATCTTTGTTTATACTTTTATTATTATATAGACGTATAATATAATACACATGCGCATACTGTGTTGACTGTTGACATTATTATACAACGGCGAGTCACGCGACCAAATGACCTTATCCAACATTTTAATCGCGTATTCACTTTTTTTATCCGATCGTCAGATATTATAATATACCTACCTACCTGTAAGCACACATTGCACACTCAATTGTATACTAAATAATCGTATAGTGACAATAACTAATGAAGCCGTGTGTATATTTTATTGTTTAACAGATTGAACGCGTTTCCGGAGACAACAATTACTTGTCTCTTCGAAACTCTCCGTCGAGGGATTTGGATCGCTTCATCGGTAAGATTTTTCGGCATCTCGTTGGCACGCACGTCATGTGCACCCGTATATATTATAATACTATATTATTATAATAATATTATACACAATAAGCAGCTACGCATGTTTAAAACACTAATACAATTGTCTACACAGGCCTCTATCGTGTTCTCTAATATTTTATATAATAATATATCATAATGTTATATTTATCCGAACAATATTTACCATGGCTGCGCACGATTTGCATGTCCCGCTAATAACGCACACTAAAATGTACGCGACCCAAAATATAAGTACTGCACACGTGCCTATTTAAATATTAAACACAACCTGTGTAGGTACGGGCTCGGTTTGTATCGCAGTATAATATGGTCCTATATTCATAATGTTTGTATACGTAATTCCTACCCATGTAATGGATGTAATACGATGTATATTATTATTACTATTATTTGGTCTTGTTTCGCGAGCGCCTACGACGATGACGATGTAACACCGAACAAACGCCGATCCGACCTAGCTGTTTATGTCATAATATAATAAACATATATAGGTACTTCCGGTTTCTCGCGCCCCGACGAATCGCATCAGCCAGGTTTAATATAATATACTAATTTATATTCTCTTTGTGCGGTTCGCCTTTAAATACAAGAACATGCTTCTCGTCAGCGACCATTTGATGTGCATGTGTTTACGGTATATAACATTATACCATACACGATAGTATATTATGCACTATACTAGATGGATTGTTACGAATATCTGCTCGATTAATCACATGTACACACAGTGTGGCGAAACTGCAGTGGGGTTACTATAGCACCCCGATCTAAATTTAACTATTCGAGCACCCTCGAGTTTCTATCGTCTCTATACATTTAAGCAACTAGTTGTCACTAAGTGTAATTCTATATTTTAAAAATGTATCATTAGTTCACAACTGTTTTTCTCATCTCGAATTCTGATTGTATTGATTTTCACCAACACTATATATTATCCCGTGAGTTCAGCAACATGCGTGTTTTGAACGCGTAGTTTCTCCTCGATCCAAAGGTCAAAATATTGGTTAAGAAGCAGTGGCCAACGGTTCACCAGCGTTTCACTAATTTAAGTACCTATCGAAAACATCAAAAGAGATTTGGTTAGTGAAAATTGAAACCCAATGTGTTCCTGACATAGACTGAAAGTAATGTTTAACAATTTAATATGAAACACGGTAAATGTGTCAACATTTTTTTTATAATAGTGTGTGAATATTATAATAAATTTAATTATACAGTAATAATGTGTATTGTCGGGAGGTATGTACTGGTGTGAGGCCATGTGATCGTTACATTATTGTTGCACCCCTAATTAACTTATGAACTACAGTCTACAGTTGCGCCACACACACACTACCAATATTAGGGCGAGACCTTTTTATAATGCCTATATAGTATATACATTATAATATTTTATACAACTTATATTTTTAATAATTTTCGATATTTATAAAGTAGACGGTAAACTTTACGGTGTGGTCGAAAAGTGAATTGGCTGAAAAGGGAAGGATACGATTCGAAGGGTCAAAAACGGTCATGTCTCAATATTTTATGCTCTTTCCCTCCGTCGTCGTGAAGCGTCAACCCGAAAATTAGATTTATGAAAACTTCTGCTGTGCATATTTTCGAGGTCTTGAACACGCCCCCTGTAATTTCACTCTGCAGTCTGCAATAACCGTAATCGTACTACAAGCATAGGTAATGTCCATAATAATATATAATGATATTACATCCATTACCATTTATCGCACGTTAACAATAGGCTAACGTTTATTATTTAGGTAGTTGTGATAGGTATCGAAATCAATTATTATCATTTTTTGTAGACCTAATTTGCGTATACTAGACGAACGCAAATATTAGTACTCACAAATCGTATTCGTATGCCTTTTATTGTTATGACTTATTCTATAATAATTATTATGAATTTTAACATACTAATACGCAACAGTCATAAGATATACACATAAGTTCATGTGATTGCAAAATATGCGATTTCTTAAGTTTTTTAATTTGTATTTATATTACGTTATAATTCAACATCGCACGTTGTTGTTTTCAAACACAACACAAAAATTATCCTCCCCGAAACATTCGATTCGACCGCCGAGGCGCCGATCCCCTGTGGGGTAAGTTCGCTGTTTGATTTATGCACAAAGTCGGTAAGTGAAGTGCTGTAAGAGCTGATCACCTCCCATGGCGTGACAGCCGACTTCCTTGGTCCACGTCTACGTATTGTACAATAACTATATTACAATAACTATACTTATCGCGTTACCCTGCAGGGTATACTGCAGCACGCGTGATAGTGTATAGTTGAACTGAAAACAGCGCATTTTAATCAAAGAATAAATACAAGAACTAAACTAAAAATGTTATTGAAATATTTTTTTTTTAAGAGAGGGAGAGAGAGAGAAAGATAACTAAGGATAGTTTTACTTAAAATATGAAGTGGCATATATATTTTCAAGAGACGAATTCGTAGTTAAATTCGTTGTTCGCAGAATAAATCCAGCTAAACAATACAATACCTAGTCCGATAATGTTTCGGTATTAATTATTGTAATGCAGAAAATATACAATAATTATTTATATACATTGTTTATTTATCTAATATTAGCGTTAGGAATTAAATACATTAAAACTTTGCAGTTTTGAAAGAGTTAACGTATTTTTATTATTCTCTAATAGACACTGAAAAAATATAGCAAACAATATTTTTAAAAACTCACACATTTATTTTAATAGGTATTTCAAGTGGGAACCTCTTATTATGACAGTCAGTATAATAGTGACTGTCATTACTAGGAACTAAAGTTTGGGAGTTATTATCCATTTTGACGTCAGAGACATACACTCAAATACTCAATTAGTGTTATAGGAAAACAAATGTCGTGTAAATCGTGTAGTTTGGGGATTCGAGTAGTTCAGACATATAACACTAGGTAGTGTAGGTACAGGTAAAACATCTATGATCAGAGAGACAAAATCAGGTTTTGTCGGCATTTGTCATTGTCACGGACCTTTGTGCGAAGCCGATTCGACAACACAAAAAAAGAAATTAACTAACGAAAAACCCGTTTAAACGATCTCGAGACCTCCTCCAGTACCCTCATGATAGCCACGATCCACAAACCCACCGAAGTTATGTCCTCCCACGAGGGTCAAGTAGACATGTCACACATGGTTGAAAGTGCACGTGGCTATATACCGTGTCACTACATTGGTTTTGCAGACACGTTTTGCGTCGACGGCAACCAATGCAATCTACCGAGTGGTATGATGGCCGCCGCTGCGTGGGATAGTCTTGACCGGTTGGACGGCGGCCACACTATGGTGGCCAAACGGAGTAGTCTGGACCGGTTGAACGGTGGCCACACCATGTCAGCCAAACGGAGTCTGGACCGGTTGAATGGCGGCCACGTCATGGTGGCCAGACGTAGCAGCCTGGACCGGTTGAACGGCGGCCACGTCATGGTGTCCAGACGTGACAGCCTAGACCGGTTGAACGGCGGCCACGTCATGGTGTCCAGACGTGACAGCCTAGACCGGTTGAACGGCGGCCACGTCATGGTGGCCAAACGTAGCCAACCCGAACTGTTCAACGATGGTCTCACCGTGGTCACAGGAGGTCCGTTACCCGACCGTGGACAGCTGCAGTCGGTTCCTCAGCAACTACAACAGCAGCCCCCCAAGTATCCTCGGACACTAACCCGGTGGTCTGAAGCCGACGTGCAGTCCTTCAACGACAACGACCGCGACGACTATTACCCGAAAGACGGCGATGACTACTACTCGAAAGACGACAGCGACTACTACATGAAAGATTACGGTGGTGATGATTGTCAGGGCTGTGGTTCGTCGGCAAAGGCTGCGTCCTTTTAACTGCTGTCACCCTCTTTCGTCGTCGTCCTCCGACATAACAACACATGATAAAACAGTATTAACAGGGTATTGCACCCGAATTAACCCAAACCCATAACACACCTAAAAACCATTAAAAAATTAAACCCATTACAGCTTGAATGATTTTTTGTCCAAAACATCCAAATTAACCAAAATCCGAATAAGACATTTCAGTTAACCCTGTAAAAGCCAAATATTTCTTATATTTCACACATTTTAATAATAATTTAAAATAAATAATAATTGAACAATTTATTGTATTCTGAATGCCAGTGCCCTCAACCTGAATAATTGATTCGGGTGCAACACCCTGATATTTAATAATTCATATCATAGCTATATAGGTAGGTATACAAAACTATATTAACCTGTATTGTAATGGGCACGACGGCAGCGATAAAAAACCTAATATTATTATGCGATAGAAATTTTGGTATTAAAATATTATATTATATTATTATAGTAATTGAATGCTGCACAAAATAATAAAAAAATCTACGTGTTTATTTATTTCTATAATTATTAATATATATATATATATATATATTTTTTTTAAGAGGCCACCGGAAAAATCATTTGTATCTGTTCGTCTTTTCGTGTATATTGTATATATTATTATACTATTTGTATTTGTTTTCGAGCGTATTTATGTACGCCATTGTCGTGGTTTTCCTCGACGACATTTTAACAGTGCTATCACGTAATCATTTATACAGAGGGCTATTCATAAAAGATTAAAAAACTATCACAAATGCAAACACTCCACGGTTTTATTAAACTATACATTTTCATCATAATATTGTAAATCTTGGATTCTGTATTAAGTACGTATTGTCGCAAAATAATGATTATTTATTCATCCGTCATCGAATCAAATCTGTATGACTATATCCAAAAAAATAATATTTTAATTGCTTATCTATTACAGAAGAGTTCAATAAAATACATTTGAAAATAATATTTTATTAGGATACGTTAATAATTCCTGTATAAATGAATAAAAATTTAAAAATTTAAAAATATTTTAAATAAAATTTTTCGAAGAATACGTTTATTCTTGTTTTTGTTTATATAATTTCATGTATTGATTTTACAGTAATTTTTTTTTGTTATTTATGTGCGTCTGATAATACTTTTCGGAGCAAAACAAATGCTTCAGTCTTCAACTTTGAAGGTAGTTTCTAGTGGAAAATTTATCTGGCTGGTACTTTGAGGATCAAACGAAAAATATTTTGATGTGTACAATTCTTGTCACTAAGTCAAAAAGCTCCAAAATATAGTACAATGTTCAAATTTGATCGAAATTAGATATTTAAATAGTTTTAGGTATTTTTTTGTAATTATAAAAAGATTAACCGTAGATTTAAAAAAAAAATATTATATTTTTTATGTAATCATGTTACACAAAAACATTTTTTAAATATTTATACTAATTTTTATCTATTTATTATTATGACCTCGAATTCATTTACCTACACCATTTCATGGTGTGATAAAAAGCTAATACACAGTAACACCGTATTACTAATAGTAATATAAATATATTGTATATTATAGAAGCTTATACATATCGTTTCCATGAACAAAATCGTTTTTCGTATACAATGATTTATCATTGAATTCAAATTTAACACATCCATCACAATTTACAGTGACTTGCAACTCAATGACAAGGTACACTATCAGCTAAGCGAGTTCCCTGCAGCTGCTTTTTTTTCATAGGTAATTTTATGCTTCCATGTAATCAATAAAATTAATCCAGTGGTGGATTTTAAATATTGTGATGTGGATTTTTTTTTGTCCGGAATAATAGTTTGTATTTTATCTTTATTAAAAACAAATGTATTTTTTTTTAAATATATATCGGTCTCTGAGGGATTACAATAACCCGGGATGTTAATCCACCAATATAACCTATAAATTGTTTGACTTTGGAAATTAAAGTCCGATAGTGGATAGGAATCAAGTATATTATGAATAGAAACAATTATAAAAACAACTACTCAGACTAATATTATTTTTCAAAAAGTAGGTTACATAAAATATTTATATATAAATCCTCAAATAGCCAAAAATAATTTTTACTCAAATTTCTATCTATGTACGAAGTAACAAAAATAAATATAAACGCAGTCATTTACATCCCTGCTAATAACTCATATATGTCATTATAAAGCCACATTGTTAATTACCATCCTATACCTACCTATTTAATATACCTATTTATAATGTTAAGTCTTATATCTATTGACTATCTTTCTATAACCATTTAGTTTCAAAAAATGATAACCCATACGATTTAAATGATTATTTTTCTGGTGGCCTTTATAAGATCCTAATACAATCAAGTATTCAACTACATAATATTTATTAGGTCATATATTATATTACGTTGAATGTTCAACGAAAATATTGCTTTTTTTAGGAATACAATAAAAACGACGTTCGTCTTAAAATAAAATATTGGTTACGAATTTTTCAAATTGGAAATTCACACGAGGTTTTTTTGATATAGTTTTGCGAACTGAATCGATCAATTTTAGACGTCTGCGATGATTTAAAATTATTATTATAACGATATAAAAATATAATCATAATAAAATGTAACAGAATCTACAAAAACCAATTGCCTCACTGTCATATAATATTCAGTATTGTGCACCTATACTGCATAACACATATCATACACAGAACGTGATAATAGTTTAAACTTACAAGAGGAGCAAAGTTCAGGGATCGTGGCCAAATGGTAACAATAAAATGTTATTGTTTTTAACTGAGCCATGGTGGGTTATGCTAGGTACTCATAATAAATTCCATCACTGCAGTATCACGTCAGATGTCGTTTGGTCTGTTTCAAACATATTCCGTGAAATGCTCTCTTTTAATTGCTATTGTATTAATGACGGCGAAAAATGTATAGACGGACAGTGAGTAGTTTTTTTTGATAAAAAATAGAAGGGAGAAAGTTTATACGATGAAAGCCAAACTCTGTTTTAACGTCTCGGAGGTCGACTGCAGTGACGTCGGGTGCAAAATAATACAGCAAGTGGTGGTTGGGGGCATTCAATGTATGGGTAGGAGGAGGTGCAAAAAAGTTCTCATCGCCGTTCACAGTGTAGTCTTGACACCTGATGAATTAGTAAATAGATTGACTGATGGAAAATGAAAAAGTTATTTCTAAATATTATATTATATTATATACTAATAATTCAATTTTACCCATACTACCTGAAACAGTAACGTCTAGGTAATTAGTGGCTTATATATTTAATGAATGTCTCGCCAATAGAGTTGCAGGAACAATTGTGTTCCATTTGTACAAGTAAATAATTAGTATACAAGTGACTGTTAGTATGCCACAGGATTTAAATATTAATTGTTTTGGAGAAAATGGGAGGGGAGTAAGAGACTAAAATATCAATAAATTACGAAGGGGATATCAGTTGTACCTATCGACTCCGCTGGTTAGTGTTCGTAGTTCATACGCTAACTATAGGTACCTAGGTACTTATCGATTTTGCTGAGCCTTAAATTCAATATAATATATTATAAATATGTTGAAAATTAAAAAAAAACTTTAAAAATGTTGGTAGTGAGTTCGTTTTATAACCCATAGGCTATAGGTACCTGTGTACCTAATAAGTGTAACAAATGTAATTTAATATTTTTTTTAAATAATTACACTAATTATATTCTAAATTTGTTGTATATAACGCACATAAATCATCACATGATAGGTACATAGGTAACCATAATAGGTATTTTAATTTAATTAAATATTATAATATTATATACTAATAAATTTAACAAAAATGCAGTAAAACATGTAGGTATGTTGTCTTAGACATCTACCATTTTATAAATTTAATAGGTTCTGTGGAAACGATACCTATACAATAGCTTAAAAACACGATATTTCAACAATCCCCAATAATAGGTTATATATAAATTAATAATATATTATTGTCTTACAATATCGATAATAATAATTGATCACACCTCTAAATTCAGATACCATATTATTATACAATATAATATAATACATAAAGTATATTGTAGATACAAGTGACCTATAAACAAATTAAAAGTTTAGGGACGACGTGCTCTCGATGACCCACTCTCTCAAACACTCTTACAGGTTACGGCACTAATAATAAATTCACAATATAATGATGATGATAGGTACTTAGGTACTAGATGCAGAAGTTGCGAACCACTACGGTATGCGGTAAGTATTATAGGTATGTATTACAGTTTATAAAATATTTAATACGTAATGTACTTTAGTCTTAAGGCACACATTTAAGTATAATATATTTGCACGTGACTTTAAATTTGTTAATGTAGCATGAGAAGCATTCTTCTATTCTTGTTATCAGGTATAAAGGTTTGATGATATAATACTTCACTCGATGCACGTCAAATGACTACTTAATAATTTACATAATAATAATATATATTATATATGACTGAACATTGGAGAGACGATGACCGACAATGAAGTGCTGGTTTCTCGGATTCGTCGTCTGGCCAGCATGCAAAGGTCTCGCAGCGAATCCGACAGACAAGTAAACACTATATTATATTATTGTTGATATATAATATAATATATCACAATATTATCTTATTGCAAATAGTATTATATTGTTATTATTAAAATTTGGCACACGTTCACTCCTCGTGTGTATTTAGGACGACGGAAATTTGATTTGGTAGTAAATACAGTAAACCATACCCATATTATACGATATATTATTATTAACTATTGTAAGTACGAAGAAGTATAGTATTATCGTACCTTCTTATAATATTATTGTCTTTCTCGTCAACATTTTTTCCGAGTTCACGACGCAAGTATTAAATATACAGGAATTTTAATCGATTTTATCATTATTATTACAAATACTTTCTCGTATAGTATGTGCGCGTCTGAGTGTCTCCCCCATTATTTCCTCCAAATAGTGTTCACACTGGTTCGTACTTCATTGCCATTCAATAAAGTACATATTTATACAACATATATATTATAGTATATTACACTCGAAACGAATTCGCAGGTGATTTTATTTTAATCCTCGATGATTAGCACATATAGTGTGGCTAAAATAACAAGATTTTGCATTCCATTAGACAAATATAATAATAGCTGTACCTACCGACGTAGTGTTGTCGGTATAATTAATATTATTACACTATATTGTTGTACCTTCACGATGATAACTGGAAATCAGTCGGATAAAATATGCATTTCCGTAGAATTATATAACGTTTTTAGTTTTTACATAACTATAGATAGTGTTAAAATAAGCTAATTATAAATTATAATATTATGAGTTAGGTAGGTAATTTATAACTAAAAAAAAACATTTATCAAAATAAATTATTAAAAAAAACGATAGATAGTGCTTATAAAACTATAGCCGTTCTCACTTTATGTTTTCAATAATAAATATTATGTAGGTATATTGAAATATTTTGGTGATTAATATTTATTTATTTCACAAAATAAAACTAATATATTACAGTTATAGAATACTATATATAACTTATTGTTGGTATTATAATTTAGCCGAATGCCGTTTGCAACATATTATATTCATATAAACTATAAAAATTACTGATTAGGTATATTTCTAGTTATAGTAGGTACTCAATCAGAGTTAGAACATATTTTTTTTGAATACCGCATTATAATTTTCCATTCAGTAAACTGAAGTCCAGCTTGATAGGTATTCTTTTGAGTTATTTCTTCAAACCATTAATAATAGGACACATACTAGTTGTGGAAGAATTATTCAAGTCAGGAATTATAACATAACAATTGCGGACACGAGTTTCGTTGTCATAATACTAATTGCGTACAGAGATTTTTTTAATAAAAACCACGTTAGTTGTGGACACAAATATTTCCCTTCACCACTTTTCAGGACTTAGGACAAGCTACCAAAAAATTGGTAGGTGGGGTTAAAAATATTTGTGTCTTGCAAAAGACCAATCGTTATTTTTAAAATGTTGTTGAATTATTTATTGTTTTAATTTTGTGGAAAAAACTTTTTATAAAATATTTATAGATTATCGTCATTATTGGATATGGGTCACTTACTTATACGAGCAGTGTGAATATTCTCTTTCGGATTAAATTTATAACCTTTGTGTCCAATACATTTGAATCATCTTGTGTAATCTCAGAATGTATAATTTTGCTGAGACGTTCACATAGCTGCTCTACCGCTTTGCGTTTGACACTATTACTTAACTTCTGCCGCACAAGTGATCGTTTCTCATCGGCCTCGTGGTTCTTATGTTCAAGATTATTTTTTATTTTAACACTATGTGTATTCAATTTTAAAAATGCATTACACCTTTTATTTGTACACGCCCACCGTTGAATTTCATTTTTCATTATGCGATGAAAACGGAACTTAAACCCGTCAATCACATGTAACTCTTTAAGTTTTTCAATATACATTTTTATACAGAAAATAAACGAACATCAAACGAACGGCAAGCGAGTATGGTTGTCAATAAACTGATTAAACATAGGCAACGGTTTCAAAAGCACCGGCACAAAATCTTAATCATTAATATCAAACAGTAATTTCCCAACGTCCACGATCGCTATATCAAAAATAATAATAGGAAATTTGTCCGCAATTAGTATCTTATTCTTATATTTGTGTCCGCAATTCATATGTTACCTTTTTAGATTTCGTCCTCAACTCACATGGTTTTTGTCACTTTGTCCGCAATTCTGAAACACCGGAAAAATACAGATGGACATTAATACAAATTTGATAAAAAAAAAAAAACTTTCAGATGAAATACTATTATTAAATCGTTAAGTTATATAAAATGTCAACCAGACTATGAATCATGAAAATAACTTTTACAGATGTAAAATATAAAAACAAAATTTGATATTAATGTGTTTTTAAGCTAATGGACAGCATATAAATTCCGAGTGAATAAATGTGACTTAATGACTTTTTTTCGGGAATCAAGTGTAAAATAATACATTTTTAATTCTTAATTACAAAGATACCTTCATAATTTATTTGAATTTTGTTGCTTTAGTATAATTTTAATATTCAAAAGCAAAGTCTTACATATCGGTACTATATATATATATATATATATATATATATATATATTAAAATAAAAGTATATTATATTTTCTCGAAATTTGATGAACAGTTTTTAACTTTTCAACTTACTCAAAGTTATACCTTATAAATTCAAAACCATAATATACGAACTAATTCTTTAAGAGCATTTTAAATTAGTTTATGAATTAGTAATATCATTGATTATAAATAGTATTTATAATCAATGGTAATATTTTGTTTTACATTTTCACTTGAAGAAGATTTTAATTTTGTATTTATACATAACAGATGATTGGAATAATAATTAGGATCTCTAGTTTAGGTAATAATAATTTATTATTCTGAGTTTTACACTTATAGTCTGCGGTTTCAAAATGAAAATAGAATATTTTCTTTGACCTTTATTTCATATAAGTAAACATAATTATTTATTCCACACAATTTATTTGAATTTAGTTATATGAACTAAAAATATAGCTTTATAATATAATATTATGTATACAATCAATAGTAATAGTAATATTATTTATTTATTTACAAAATACAAGAATATTACATAAATAACATATAACATAATATGGAGTACAATGTATAATGGGCCTCACTGAGCAAGCTATGTGACCAATGTTGACTCCTGACGTAGTGGCCTGTCATACTGTCATAGTATAATTATATAATATTGTAACATATTAAACTATGCATTAGGTATTGTATTATATATATTATATATAATATATACATTACAAGTTACAAACAATTCGTTGCAATTAAAACATTCAAGATGATTTCAGGAAACTATTTGTTTCTCTTGCTGACCTACCCGCAATGTAGAAAATGTAACCAATCCTGTGTTGTTAGCTTTAATATTAGAACAAAATTACCTATTATCAAACTTAGGGGTAACTATATTATCTAGGACACCAGCTCATAGGTTTTTTTTGATATTTTAATTCTAAAGTGAGTTATAGCTTTGTAACATATCACAATTTTCAAATGTTCATAAATAGCTAAGCAATTAAAATGTCAACAAAAACCTTTGATGTGCCCTGGATAATGTTCTCGTCTATAAGTTTGACGATAAGTCAATTATGAACTTAAATAATATTAAAGCTAACAACATAAAATTGGTACATACATACATTATTACATCTTGCATCCCTTTTGATTAACTAGTTATTGGTGGTCAACAATTATAAATATTTTACAAAGCTCGAGTTGAACTATTTACACACCGTTGCAAATTATTAGTTCTGTAATTTAAACGTATTGGAGCGATTGCCTCTCCTCCCCGCTTCCGTGTAACTTGGTTAATTGTTTTTAATTATGAAAATATTAAAATTTACCGACAATCTTCAGTTAAATAGATGATGAAAACAGTTTTTATTTTGCATATTATTTGTACCAGGGTATTAAATTTACCCCCCTCCACCTGGAGTTAAGACAAAACCACTACTGCGTTGTTTTAATCGATACTACTTCAATTCAACTAAATTATTTATGTTTTATAGGTATGTTTAATGTTTATATAACATTAAAACATCAATCCACATCATTTATATACATACGTGCCACTTGTGCCAAAAAAACTACAATAACACTGTTTAGCATTTTTAAACTGACGCCTTATTTATATTGGTATCCATGCGGTCAATATCTTTAATTTACCTCCTCCGTCAGTCCTATCTACCACGGCCCACTGTTTTGTAACAATATATCATATTATACTCTTTTCTCTTAATTTATTATCTTTCTTGTGTATCGCACTTCTCTACTAATTCAAATTTCAGTCGTCCATACTACTATTGAACATTTACGGAGATCGCCGTGCTCTATACTTCTACAGTTCTACTCTACATAACATAACGCATACATGTATAATATGTGTATAAATAAATATACATATTTATATTTTATACATAGGAACTGTGAACGTCAACAAATAGTTCCAATTCCTATTAGATATAATTATTAAAAATGTCACGCAGATGCAATGAAAACGGCTAAGATGTATCTGACGTTTTAATTTTATTAGGTAGGTTCTATGGTTTTAATTATTTGTTTTTTTTCCAGAAGGAGAAAATCTTCTTAGAGACTTGGAGATATTGAGAGACCGCGCTGAATACTTCGCTAGGCAAAGCCGTCATATTAATTCGTTGGACGGTGTAGGTTTCGGGCAGAGCAAACGATTTGACACCCTCAGGTAATGTATTTTACAATTAATACAATTATAAACATTTTTATAGGTTTCTAGGTGACTTTTTTTTCATTCAAATTGTCTCCGAGTGCTTTCGGAAGCATTCGAGTACACCCAAATGGTCTTTTCAAATTACCTTCTTTTAGCATACCTTATATTATTAATTAATATTAAATTGATAGTTGTACACATGTGTACCTACCTACTACCGATTATTTTATCGAGTGTTTGAAAATATTATTTTTAAGACATGTAGTATTTCCCAGCCAGATGAATTTGATGAAGATTAGTTGACAATATCGCCAGTTAAACATACTCAGTTTTGTTTGCGTGACCAAAATATTGCAATAATTAAAAGTATTGGCAAATACATTTAAACCTTGAAAACTAATTAAGATACAACATAACCAACTTACATTTTGACTGCAGTCTGCATACACTATACACACACATCTGCACACATGAAACTTTTTTTGACTTCTTTAATATGCGTGTATACACATTATAATGGCATAAAACTATCATGTTTGCATATTATATTATTAGCTATAGGGATAATAATGCCAAACAATTTCCGGAAAAAAACTTTGTTTCTCTCAAAGCCCAGAAAATATGGTTTTTAAAGAATTTTAAAACAACACAATATATTTTGTGAAAAAAGTTTAAATAACGTTTTTAATAAAACGTTTTCGCTGCCTGTTCAGCAACACGTCGTTCAGTTAGACCAAAGTCTATCTCATTCAAACAAGCGGGATTTATCGAAATTGGATATTTTTTCTTTTTTTTACTACAGAGTCTGCACTTCAGCACACGTCCAGATCCGTTCATTACGTCAATTTAGTTTTATAAAAGTTGTGTATAAATATAATAATATAATCTGTTATTGATTGTTAATAACAATTATTTACATTATACCTAGGTATAATTATAATTATAATAGGTACCTATTGCATGTATTCAAAATATATCTGCTTTTCTTCGATACTATGTCCGAATCATAATATATTATGTTATCTTACAATAATGTTCTTTGTTTCAGTAGCCAATTGGTACTGGATATTGAGATGTTATATTTACAGACAATAATAATCCTCAGCGTTTTGTTACAAAAACACTATAACAACAATATGTTCTAAACTACTACTAAGTTTTTACTTAGAACATTTCAAATTAATTTTTTTCTGGCGATCAGTGCTTATCCCGATTGGTTTTCGACTACAATATAGCCATGCGGTTTTTATTGGCATCGGACGACAATGGTTTTTCTTAATATGTTTACTCTCGTATGACAATGCACTTAAAGTCTTAAACATAATTAGATAAATGTTATCATCAGGGGCGAATACAGTGTTATTTCTCAGAGGTTTTTGGGATTTAATGGAGGGGAAGTATTGGAAAAAATAATAATTTTATGTAGCTTTAAGGATCAAAAAACAGTGGAAAAAAAAATATTTTTAGGGCGCAGGGTAATTCAAATAAAAAGTACAATGGATAAATTCAAGACATTCCTTATCCGTAAGGAGTAAATCGATTATTGAAAATGTAAATTCAAAAATAAATAAATGTTAAGTATTAAAATATTATTGAAATATTTTACACGTCATATTATTCTACACCTACAAAATACAATAAATTGTATTAAATTTTGGTTTTTCTAAAATACTTATAGATAAGTACACAAAAAAAAATTTTTTTAAACCTATTTTACAAACTTATAACATTGAGGATAAAGAAATGCATAGTACCTACCATGTAAATGACTAATGAATAAATAATTGTACCCATAAAGTATGTTTTACATTGAATATATCATTCCGTATTATTTCCTGACTAGTGATAAACGATAAACATTCTTATGAAATTTGATAGTTCACAAATCACAACCGAATAGACAATATAATATACTCGCCACTATGTATAATATTATGATCTATTACGTATCAGGCAAACTTTTGGCTCAATTTTTCTATGAAAAAAAATTGTGAACAGATAATAATAAATATTTTTATACCAATCCATTCAAAACACATAGTTTTTTAATTTTCCCAGAAGGATAAACTGTAGTCTCTTATGAAGAGCCTCTCTAATAATTATTTGGTTTATTTTAAATATACACAAATGGTTTTAAACCGAAACTTTTTTAGAGAGTGTATAGAAATTAAATTAAATTATAGGTATGTTTTACATAGCATCTGGTCTCGCGATTGACTTAATATCATATTATTTTATAGTTTATAATATTATAATATAATATGTTATCTTTATTTCGTCTGTGATTATAAGTGTGATTATATAATATAATAGGAATAGTCTTGCGTCTTGAGTTCATATAAATTAACTATAATATGTAATATATAATACTAATATGGATATATAAATCATATTTATAATTCATGTATAATATTATGTTCCACTGAGATTCGGTTGACTATACATGACTTTAGGTATTTTACCCTTTTTTTACTTGGATTTTACCCACACCAAATATACCTATTTATCACACATTATACATAGGCCTTCCTATACTGAATAGGACTCCATATTCTGCAGGTGGTTGCACTGTTGATTCTATAGTATGTATATTGTATATATTATGATCCACTGTGTGTTGTATATTGTTTTCAGTGGCGTATCTTTCGGTGGCCAAAAAAGAAACTTTGATGAAATCGACCGCAGCGGGTTCGACCGGTTCGTGAAAAAGAACTTTGACGAGATCGACCGCAGCGGGTTCGACCGGTTCGTGAAAAAGAACTTTGACGAGATCGACCGCAGTGGTTTCGACCGGTTCGTCAAGAAGAACTTTGACTTCGTGAAAAGCCCCAACAAGGTGCCAGCGGCTAATTTGGAATAGACGCCGACTACGCACGCGCAAACACACACGCACACCCAAACACACTTACATACGTCATAATAATAACAATTACAATAATCATATATCATATAAGTACTCACTCAAACTAGATCCACATCGCTGCTACATAGTTATACAGTATAATATGAATAGTGTAGGAATGGTTATATATTCCACTCATAATTATATATATGAAAAAAAATAATAATATGTCATGAAGATGTATAATAACGATGATCATCTTAAGTCCACATTCACCTCATCTCTTTTGTTGTTTGGGCAAATGCGCGCGTGCCATTTAACTGGTATATACCCCACCATAAACCTATAAATATGTACTGTAGAAAAGGAATTGAATCCGATAGTAAAAAACATTTAAAGAGTAAATTTTATTATAATTTTTGACGTGGTTGTGTGTTAGTCATCGAATAAAAAAAATTAATATTATAATTAATATAACTTTAACTATAAACAATTTTCTGTTTTTTTATTTTTTTTTCATAGATCTGTTTGTGAATCTCAACAACTATATAGTCATTATTATACATTTATAACACATAATAATATAATACATACACATAGATGCATATGTATGTTACCGTTGATTTATAATTACATTAATTTATAATAATAATTCTATGTACTTTAAATCTCTGAAAATGTATTAAATTTTAATAGTTCATAAAAACATTACAAATGTGTTTTCAATCAATTATTCAACCTTTTTCACACATCACGCTGTGTGTACGATCATAATGGTATAATCGACATAGGTACAATACAATAAATACATGGTATATAGCCATAAAGGTACAACTCATATCAGTAAATAGTGTACGCGACTGACTATTCCTATCTCTTGAACAGATTTTCATCACAAAACTTTCGCCTTCTCAGCGTAATTGCAGCTGTGTTGACAGTTTGAAGTTCTTGAACATAATATAATACGCACGTAAGTATGTATAATATTATCTGCATGAACAAAAATGAATTGCCTAGGTACACAACTTTATCGATACGGAAAACACCGCAATGAAGTGTGAACCGACACAAAATGAAAAAAAATAAGGCACTAATAATATGATTATAATTTTTTACTTTTTAAAATTACTTTAAACAGGTAACCTATAAAAATCTCTCAACATTTATGATTAAAATTAAAATAGGTACATGTAATATCTCGAATTATAGTCGTGTTCGGGCCGTACGGCAATCGTAACTTTTACGAAATTGAAAGCACGGTAATTTGAACTTTGTAGATTATTATTTAAATTTAGAAAATAAAAGACAAGTCAAATTATCATGTTAATTTTGAATGATTTATTAAACATATACCTTTTAAACATTTTTATTTTATAATTTACAATTTTGTTCCGACTATTTATTTATATTGAGTGAATCGAATGTGCAAAATCAAAAATCAAAATAGGTTACACCCGTGCAGGAAATCATTTTAAAACTTCGTAGGAATAAGGTACACTGTACAGTGTACAATAATGGAAATATTCTATAGGTAATGCAATATACATACGAAATAAGTTTTTAGTTTTGAAATTAGATTTTATAAAACATTATAATCGCGATTCGCCAGAGTCTAGAGACATGGATTTTATTCGTCTATTAGAAGAGAATCGCCCTCGTTAGGTAATTCGTTTTTACCGTACGTATTTGTTATGGATTCTGAGGTATCCGAATTCTGAATCTAACTCTAAATAGTAACGTTGGTACATGTATATGAATATATAGAAACTATTTCGTTTAAAGATGTATCGCCAGCACTTTGCCTGTGACTCTCTAGTGTTGGTATTCTAATAATCTAAGCACGTTTAAAACGATCCTATACGTCCATTGAGACATGTGGTTAGTGGTTTATTTCGATACACATACACACATCGAGCAATCATTCCAAGAAAACAGGTTTTTGCCTGTTTAATTCATAATTTATCTTGAGCTATATCCGGGAACCATGCTGCAGATTTATTATCGTATTGATCTAACTAGGAGTAATGAAGAAAGACAGTTATCAGACGTCTGACATAACAGTAGCGAAATTATGGGGGTGCACGGACTGAGCACTTGCGTCTTGCACCCCCTGGTATTATGAGGGGGGAGCAATGACATGCTTTTACATCATAGCTGAAGCTGAACTTTAATCCTATTAAAATATAATATTATTTTATTGATTTGTTGAAATTGTTTTGATAAAAAATAACACAACACTGAACAAATAATGAAATAAATTATGTGATAATTTTTTTATCAATTTCAGCCCGATGCCATCATGCATTATCATTGACTATAGACTAAATCGCAGTAGGTCGTAGGTGAGGTGATTCCCGAGAACTACTTTATGTACGAGTTGATTCCCGGGTCATCAAGAGGGTTATGTATGAGTTGATTCCAGGGTCATTATGTCACGGTATACTCGCAATCTTATTACCAGATACCAACTTTTAAAAACAATATTGTATTATATATCTTTACCATAGACTCTCATCGATGTCAGTTTCATAATTTCTCTTTCTAAGCGTGGTCCATTATTTATATTATTTATATGTCCATGATTTTTACCAAATTACTAAATTGTTTTAATAATAATTTTTTACCTAATTACAACAATTTTTTTACTAATAATTTTTTAACAAAAAATTGAATGATTTTGAAAATATGAAAAGACTAAAAACATATTTGAGAAACTTGTCAGACAGCCTCTTCGTGGTGTTTCTTGGGTTAGACTAATAGGCTAAATATTTGACTAAATATTGAATATAATATATAATGACCAGGGAATCAACTCAACGGCATCAGTACAGGTAACAGGTACCCGGTAATCAACTCGTACGCAGCCGACTGAATTTACCAATATTACATTTTTTATTTGATATTTTATATGTATAGTATAATGCATTTATGTATATTATACAGACATACAGTGTTTAAAACATACAGATTTTGATATTTGCATATTCGTAATCAAATATAAAAAGATAGTGCAATTAAGCCAAGCGTTGGCTTAAAATATGACTTCATTTGTGACAACATTTCTACCAGAAGGAGTGCTTCGATTTCAATATATTATAGTACCTACCTTATCTTTTGGAAAATTTGAGCAAGATGGTATTTTAAACAGGTCATTTTTCGATTTTATCAATAGTTTTTTTACTCCACGAGAAATTCACTAAAATACCCTATTACTAAGTTATTTTTTTTCTAACTCTTTGTTTATCATAATAGAAGCTAATACAATTTTAAAATAACCACTAAAAGCCTGAAAATGTATGAATTTATATTTATTCAATTTATTATTGAACATAAACATAATTTATGAATCTAATTTCAAATTATATAATATTATTTATCAAACATACTAAGTTCTATATAAAAATATATATGCTGCCACATATAATTTAAAATTGTTACACTGATCCTATGTGTAGAATCGTTTTTTATGTCAAAAGATGTTTAAACTTTGAAGTTAATTTTTAAACTACCTACAAGCAGTATAAATATCATATTTACAATTTTCCAACCTACCTACCATAGTTTTGAACATAAATTTCACCATTTTTTAATCACTTGCTGAGCTCAGAATAGGTACTGTTTTTGAATGCAATTAAAATATCATTAGATTTAATTCCAATACTTTTAAAAATATATAATTTAAACATTATAGAGAGTAAACAGTTATTGGAAAATCTCCTTGTTATAGGACCAAACAACAATTATAGTATAGGTACCTAGGTTCAATTAATTTTCTATTGTGTTATCACACTTTTTATCTTTGATAACTTAATTAGATTTTATCCTAACCTTACTATAACCCTAACCATAATGGATTCAAATAAAAATAAAAACGATTATCTAAAATTAATATTACTTCAGAAGTAATTGTTATAATAAATGCCAAATATCTATTTCTGCCATTGTTATTAATTATTATCATCAACAAAAAATTGGATTTTTATAAAAAAAGATTCAGTTAACTAATGTTTTACCTACTTATTTTTATGATATCTTAAGAATGAAAAATAATATTTAACTGTAATGTTAATTGTTAGACATGCAGACGATTCTTTAAGTTTTCAAAGACCTATACATCTTGGCATACATAAATGGAGGGGTTCCTCTCTAACAGGTCGATGTCTTTCTCCAAGTTGTTCAATTGCTTCTCCAACATGGTTTTCCTTTTCATTTTCGGTACCGTGTCGGTGAGCATTGGCAACAGTAAAAATTCCTTGTGAAGTTCAGCCCAATTTGTCTTCAGTCCCTGAGTAAAAAACACGTTGGTATATAAAGGTCAGCGAAAGCAGTTGACTTTGTTATACAAACAAATGCACAAATAATGAGAAGGTGTGAAATAGAGATAGAGAATAACGTGAAAAATAAGAAATAAGAATTTAAATTAATCGGTCGGGCCCTTACGCTTAACATTTCGTTACGTTCGCTTTCGGGCAAATACCGGAATGGAGGTTTTACAGCTCGTTTTCGTTCAGTCTCCATCAATTGGGCCATTTCTTTTTCCTTGTTACATTTTTCACGATTGTAAGCAGGTGTTTTCCCATAATTCTTAAAACAACAATAATTACTAACAAATATTATAATATTCTTCATGACGACGACGATGAGTATAAAATTAGTACAATGTATATTGTTCATTGATTAGAGATATCTGTTCAATAAATAAGGAATGTGTTCATATTATTTTGTTCCTTTATAAAAAAGAACATCTCCACAATGAAAGTTTTTATAAAAATATATTAATGGAACAATGTTCGCTCTTGATTGGAATTAAAAACTATTTAGGAACATAATCATTTCTTCTTTCTCTACCTGTTGTGTTTCCATATTCGATTGGTATTAATATGAAAATATATCTAAACATAAAATATTGATTACAAACAAACTCGACAAATTCCTCTTACAGTACTTTTCGAACTTCAAAAAATAGTTGTTGAGCTAAATGAGTTTAAGAAGGCTAAACATTTGATCTTGATTTTTGAAAAAAGGTCCTAGGTAACTTCTTAAATACCTAATTAAATAAATGAATATATTTTATTTTTAAATAATAACTAAGACATCCGGTATTATTTCATAGGTGGAGTTTTACAAACTTATTAGGAGCTGGAATTAGGCTGAAGCTCTGACTCTATTTTCATATAAGTTTAAAGGTTAGCATGAATAAAAAATAAAAAAAATTAGAATTAACTGAAACGGAGGGATCTAGTTTTATGTTTGTGAAGCTTTAGCCCTCCTCCAAGCCCCCTAAGCTCCCCCAGTATTACTTGTTTATATAAAAACGTTTTATCTATTCTAAAAATGTACATGAAAAATATTAAACGTATATTATAATAATAACAACAACAACCTTCTTGGACACGTACGTGGGCTCCATCCAGCTTCGTTCAGAACAATTATGTGTCCATTCCTCGTGTCTTGGACCCGATGCTTCGGCAATGGTGGCACCCTCCTTATAACGTCAATGATGTTAGTTTGCCTAATGTTTTTCCGCGTTTTTGTTGGCAGTTTTTTGGAAGCATTTGTCGGTGCGCCGTCGCACGGCCGCTGAATCGATTTTCTAGCACAGCATTTGGTTCTATTTATTTCTGGAAAATGAGATTGAAAATATACCTAACCGATATATCTACTGTATTCAAAGTTAGGGCTACCAAATGGTTTATTTTTGGTATTTTATTCATACTTATTCAATATCTAAATTTCCTTGGCATATTATAATGACGTGCTCAAATCCCGTTTCAATTAATTTTTATTAAACTTTATTCCTTTTCAAAAGTATTTAAAAAATAACATGAAAATACATTAAGTTCAATACCCTGATAATAATAATATATTAGTATCAGAAATTGTAGAGTTTACATAAAACTTACCGACAAATGGTCTCATCTCTTTTCTGGTGTGTTTTTTTAGAAACTGTGACGGTGGATCGAGCTCAACTTCGGCATAGCCCATAGTTTTATGACAGTTATTGTTCGACTTGTACGTCCTCCTCACAGACTCAGTGTAAATCGAGCGGTACATCGGTGGTTTGACGACTGGTGTTTTTGGTCTTGGGATCAAGTGCTTAATATTCTCCTGGAATTTGCTCATCGTAATTCAAAATTTACTATAATACTATATTATATTCACGATAGCTTTAGTAAATTCAAAATATGTATTACGACATGTAACAAGTATCGAGTCACGTTTGATATAGGTACCAAAATATTTGTTGGATCAATGCGATGACAAACGGTAGTGTACATTTTAGCTATAGCAACGCTGCAGTATATTTTGATGGAAAACATAATATAATTCAAATATACTGAAATGAAACACACCATAATAATACATAATATTATATTATAACGAATTTGATTATTATTCTTTCTTTATACTCAACATACAAAGTTGGTACACAAAAATATCGGTAAATATTGGTATTGAGTCAATGTCAAAAAAATAAATTCATTAAAAATACCAGATAAGCACCTACTATTTATGCATGAACCCATGTACTGTAATATATATTATTTAATAATTATTATTTTAAAGTTTCAGAATTTTATAGTGAATTATTTTCACTTAAAAAAAAAACACCTATACATAATATTACTAAACGATATTTCACTCACACCTAAGTAACAAACTATTTAAATAATGAAGACTAAATATAAAATTTTGTAGGTTGGAGTAATGGATAGTCAACGATGCAACAAAAATGGTAAATAAAAAAATAAAACATATTAATACCAATGCACGTCATAATGTTTCAAAAATAGTTGTATATTTCATTTTGTACACAATATGCTCATTCCGATATTTATTGAGAAAATATACTTTAAAAATGTCACTTAAAACCTTAAATACACTAAATATTATCAAAAAAAGTCACATTTAATATGTAAGAATAGGTATAATAAATAAACGGAATGATCAAGTATAAACTATAATAAAATGTTCGGATAAACATTATTCTAATAAAATTGTTTATTTAATTATGTATTAATTAAATAATATAATAAATGACTATTATTCATACTTTACTGCAAGTGATACATAAGATTATTATTTTTGGCTATTAAATATTTTTTCCAAACATAATATAATAACGAAAAAAAATACTAAAAAACTCGCTCTGCTCTATAGTACATTTGAGTGTTGCTTGTCATCATATACCTTATGACATCGAAAACAGGGTATTGTGTACACTGTATAATTAAATTACCCTTAATACTCAGTACCCTAAACATATTTTTGAATTCTGTTTTCGTGACATGACTTAGGCCATTGGATCATCAGTCTCTCGCAAACAGAATTCTAAAATATGTATAGGATATTGAGTAATGTCCAGTGGCGTACGCAGGATTTTTCAATGGGGGAGGGGGGCTTAAAAATTGGTAACTTTTATTTTGTCCAGTCTAATGATTCAGACGTTTATTTGTGGTATTTTAAAATGTTTGTAATTTTTCAACTTTTCTGGTAGAAAAAATGCTCTGATCATATGCTATGATGGCCGATGTATGTTATTGAAAGCAAATTGGATCTAGTTGGTACTTTTAGGAGTTCGAAAATGAAAATGCTCAGTGCTTTTTAAATAATTAGAGAAAAAAAAATGAAAAATTATAAAAAAATTGTTTGGTAACCAGCTGGGTTTTACCATCCTCACTTGGATTGTATTTGATTAATTAAATTTTTTTTTTCTATAAATGTCAATAAAAAATTATTTATCCGGTCAAAAATCTTAAAAATGTAATACGTAAGTTTTTATTATACCTAAAATATTAACGACACATGATTGGCATCATGGTTAATATTTTATAAGTTTTGAATTACAAATTAACCATAGTTTTGACGAAATTTGAACTTAAAATGCTTATAAAAATTAACCATGATGCCTATGTGTCGTTAATATTGTAGGTATAATAAAAACTTACGTATTACATTTTTAAGATTTTTGACCGGATAAATAATTTTTTATTGACATTTATAGAAAAAAAAAAACATTTAATTAATCAATTACAATCCAAGTGAGGATGGTAAAACCCAGCTGGTTACCAAACAATTTTAATAATTTTTCATTTTTTTTTCTCTAATTATTTAAAAAGCACTGAGCATTTTCATTTTCGAACTCCAAGGTCTCTTATACAAGTACCTAGTTCATACTTTTACCGAAAAATTACAGATAATTTATGAAAATTGGTATAAAATACAATGTTTTTTCAAAAATGAATTCATTCTGAGTTCTGGTAAGACGTATATGAAATTTACGTTTTGCTTACAATAATGGACAATTGAAACTTTGAAACTTGATAAACATTTTTTTTTTTTAAGTAATAATATTATGGGTAATAGGGGGCTTCAGCCTGTTAGTCCCCCACGCCCCCACCCTTCAGACGCCACTGGTAATTTCCGTAAATGAGTTATAGGGTGTAGCCAGTTTTCACGGAACGGTATGTACATATATCTAAATTCTAATGATGTTTAATACTCGTACATGTTTACTGCCATAGTGCCATTATACTATCTGTTAGTAATAACTAATAAGATAGGTTGAACTAATTTTTGCAAAAAAACATTGCATATTGTAATATTACGGTGTTAATTTGTATTAATATAATAATATGTATTGTTGTTATTAGTTTATAGTCAATATAGAATGGTGTGAATGAGTTTGTGCCTTCGTGGTATAAATAAATTAAATTATGAGTCTTAATATTTTGACAGTTTAATTATGATGAGTATAAATTTCATTTTGAATTACAATAAAATAACTATTTTCGTTGAAGTAACCAAATTATTCAAAAATTCCAAATGGTTAAAACAAAAATGTGACTTCCTATATTTTATCATTGTTTAACTGCTGTAAGAGGAATTCTATATTACAGTTTTTATGGTTTTCACCAAGAAACAAACATTTTATCAAAATAGAAAAATCCAAATGTCTTTATCTGTTGCGTAAACTATGTTCCCGTTTTAATAAGTTGACATATAAAAAAAATTTAGTATGCATCCCCCTAACTACTATGCACGTTAGACAAGGGCACAAGGTCACATGATTTAGTAGGTATTTTTTTTCGTGTCAATCATTTTTAACGGTACTAATGGATTATGTATGAAATCTGATTGCAATTTGCAAGGAATAAATTATTATGGCACATTAAACTTTTTATCTTTTATGATGACACACGATAAATAAAGTATACGATTTGGTGGTTTAAAAAAAATATACCTATAGGTATCCCATATATACATATAACATATATAACATATATAATACATATATAATATACACATAACAAAACAAAAACGAAAGTTTTCCAAAATTCAAATATTATTACTTTTTTAATCTGGATAATAATATTTGGTGTGCCGTAGCCGTTTAGTGAATATTTTTTATAATATGGACATTATTTGTCTTTTTACTTTTATACATAATTAGATAATATTATAGAATATAGACAATTGTACACAAACAATTTTAAATTGGATTCAGTATTTTCGCAGCATTGTACTCGTGGCGAAAAAATTTGTATGGTTACATCTGTTGTCGTTTTACTAGTTCATAGTAACATCCTTTTAATTCTTGGAGCTCTTCGTGAGAACCAAGTTCGGTGATCTGCCCACGCCAAACAACAGCAATATCATCTGCCGATTGAATGGTTGACAAACGGTGAGCAATTGTTATACATGTCCTACCTTTCCTAGCTTCATCTAAAGCTTCTTGAACAATCTAAAGATCAAACGACAAAAATATGCTATAGTTGCTGTGTTTGGACATTGTTTTGAGTTTTAATTTATTATTGTTTAAAATATATTTCAACTTAACATAATTAAATAACTATTAAATTATATACTTAAAATTTAAACAGAATTAAGCTTGAGATTATCGAATAATTGAATAATAATATATAATGTCTATGCATAATATGTATCATATAGACAATATTACTGATGATGATAAAGGTAAAATAAAATATATTCATATTATTCATACTATTCATATTATTTATTAATTTTAATAATACAAATTCGTTATTTTAATACTTAGTTCCTACTGGCCTAGGGGTCTGTACATTATTTATACATGTTACTAAGTTATACCAACAGGTCTCAAGTATCATACTATTAGAGGTTATTTGAAGTTCGAGGTTTTTAAGTTAAACATATTACTGTAAGCTGGCAGGGTCGCGGGGAACTCAATATGAAAAATATAAAATATGGTGTCACCCAAAGGTGACATGTTGTTTTATTTTAAAGCGACTAGTAAGACAGAGGTGATATATATAACTTCACATATTTAGTTGAATTATAATTTATAACTAACCATCGATGAAACATTGTTCGTATAAAATATCTTACTTTTTCGCTTTCTGTGTCCAATGCGGAAGTTGCTTCGTCCAACAAAAGTATTTTAGGATTTCTTATCAATGCCCTAGCTATAGCAACTCTTTGTTTTTGACCACCAGAGAGCTGTGTACCTCTATCACCAGCTATCGTGTCGTAACCCTAAAAATAAAATTTTACTATAACATACTATAATTTCAAAAACATTTATTTCACGAAAAGTTTTTATATACTTGTGGTAAACTCATTATAAAGTTGTGCGCGTTTGCTTTTTTCGCAGCTTCAACTATCTCATCGAATGGCACTTCACTACAAGATACACCATAACTGATATTTTCTCTAATGGAACAGTCGAACAACACAGGTTCCTGAGTAACCAGGCCAATGTTATTTCGCAAATGTTTGATGTTTATTTTCCGGATATCGTAACCATCTATTTCCTAAAAGTGAAAATTAATAAAAGTTATAATTATTGTTAAACAGTTATATTACTATCTATAACGTGATGGGTAATAATAAAACTCACGATCACTCCAAAAGAAGGATTATAAAATCTCTCAAGAAGTGAAATAACGGTACTTTTTCCACAACCTGATTCACCGACTAATGCCAATGTTTTTCCAGGTTGTACAGTGAAGTCCATGTTGTTTAGGATTTTCTTCGTTTTCCTGGTAGGATATGAAAAACTAACGCCTTTAAATGATATTTTACCTATTATTTCCTAAAAATACGATCATGCATAAATATTAAATAAGCATACCTAT